CCCAAGGTAACACAGCCAGTTGCAGAACTGGAAGAAAGCCCAAGTATTTTGGGTGAATTGTACGTTTCCACTGCCAGATTCAGAGAAAAGAGACAAATGGCCCACCTCTAAGAGGCATGTGGGAAGGAGTTAAGAGTACTGTCCTCAAAGCCAGACTGCTGGGCTGGAAGCCCTGCTCGGCCACTGACTTAGCCGAGTAGATAGAAGCACAGTTCTTAACGTTGGTGCTTCAGTTGCCCTCCTTAAAATGAGGGTAATGGTGTGTCTACCTCATCAGGTTGTTGCAAGGATTAAATGAGTTAGTAAGAACAAAATGCTCAGAGCATGTCGGGCGCCTATGAGCGCCATGCAGACAGCAGGTATTATTATTTATAAACACACTAGGCCATACTTTCGGCTCTGCAGAGCCACTCACTTATAAAACGCTAGTGGAAGCTCAGAGATCCTCCAGCCTGCCCCCTGAGGTGGGTGAACAGTACAGGCCCCAGCTTTGGAGTGACTTGCCCAAGGTCGTGCAGACCAGAGACCAGCTTTCCTGAGTCCTGGCTCTGCAGTGACACGCTGCCTCCCTGCTTTGAGACCCATGCATTTTGATGTGATGCCCTTAAGAGAGAGACAGCGTGACAGGTGGTGATGCAAGTGTGGAAACAAATCCAGGAGGAGGAGAGTTGGGCTTCTTTCCTCCTAGCCTACTTCCTGGGGGAGGCGAGCTTTCTGGAACCTGCCAGGGAGGGGGAGAAGTTGAGGGTTTGGAGGAGCAGCAGCCCACCTGTGTGTCCTGCAGCTGCCTCGCCTTCCCATAAGGACTCAGCACCTCTGGGCCTGCCACCCCTTGCAACCCCAACACTGCTGAAAAGGAGGGTGCTGAGCCTTGGGAGGCCACTTGCTGGGGATGAGATCACCGCCTGGAGTAGCCTTCCTGTGTGGCTTAGGGTCTGGTGCCACCTTGTGGCCATGGGCCAAGGCTGTCTTTGCACAGGGGCTGGAGGCTTAGCATAGGCCGATGGCTGGGTATCCCAGAAGTCACTCAGACACACTCAGGATTTTACACATACCCCTCAGTCGTTACTGGGGACTTAAGAAGAGAAGGTGAGTTTTCAGGAGCCAGAAGGGGAGGAATAGATAGAAGGCACTTGATTGGGAAATCCTAAACTGGACTCCAGGGTGGGAGGCTGTGTGAGCTGGTGCTCTGAGAGGTGTGATTTCCAAGTGTGGTTTCAGACTTGATCCTGGTGCACTCTGGGCTCCCAGCATCTGCTTTCTCATCAGACCTGGGGGGGAGAGGCTCTGACTTTGCCCACTCCCACCCTTATTTATTCCCATACCCTAGATGCTCTCACAGACAAAATTTGAGGTTTGTTTCTCTGGTAGGCATTATAGTTGAATCAGTATGCCTACCACCGCCCGGGCCATGATGGGCAGAGAGGCTTGTGGCTTGGGGAAAATAGGGGCTGGAGGGACAGGTCAGGTGCTCCTTTTGCCCTAGGGCAAACCTAGGTAAATCTGAGTGTTGGTGTTACTTGGCCTGGGACCTGCACGCATAGGCTTGACTGCCACATAACCATTCTTCCACCTTGGTCTGCTTTGTGAGGCTAGGAGAGGAAGAGTCTGTGGTCTGAGAGTACCCCTGAAAAAGGGCAGATTTGTGGTCTGGTCCCTGTGGGAATCTGTGGCCCATGGCATTGTCTGCTGCAGGTGCTCGTGAAGAGCTAAATGTTGGATTATGCAAACCACGTCTGACCTGTGAGACCACTGACAAAATCAAGGGAACAGGGAAGAGGCTCAGAAAAGAGCATAGAGGTTACTGTGCCTGGCCTGTAAAACCACAGCGTCACTGAGAGAGACACAGAGACAGAAAAAAACACAAAGAGAGACAGAGAGACAAAGAGAGAGACAGAGGCAGAGAGGAAGACAGAGAAAGACAAGCACCAAGGCTGTCCTGGGTGCACGGCTGATCTGGGTGCTGGGGCAGAACTTCTGGACTCACAGCCCTGCCTGAGCACCTCAGCCAGTATTCCGCCAGCCCCCCTGCTCTGCCTTCCAAGCCGCCGTCATCAGATCTGCTCAATCTTGACTCTTCCCTCCGCCCTTGACTCAGAGTCTCACCTCCCCAACCCCTCCCAAGCTTCTTGTGACTCTCTCCTTATTATGTGCCCTCCCTGCCCAGGTTTATTGTGGCCGTCATCTCTTCCAGTTGACCCTCTCCTTCAGGCCCCCAAATTTTGACATTGCTTTCCTCTCTCACTTTCTCTTTCCTTTCCACATTTCTCTCTGTCTCTTTCTGTGTCCCTTCTCTGTGTATGTATGTGTCTTTCTCTGTCTCCCTCTCTGTCTCGATCTCTCTCTTTGTCTCTCTTTTTGTCTCTGTCTCTGTCTCTCTTTCTGTCTCTGTGTCTCTCTCAGTGACCCTGTGGCTTTATAGGCCAAGCACAGTAACCTCCCTGCCCTTTTCTGAGCCTCTTCCCTGCTCCCTTGATTTTGGGAACTTAGAGACTAAAGCCAAAAGAGAGGCCATGACTCATGGGAAGTGCCACAACTAGTAAGTGACCGAACCTGGAACAGAACCAGAATTTGGTGCTTTATTTCACTTCCGAGCCTCAGTTTCCCTATGTGTTAAATGATAACCAGCCTGCCCCACAAGGCCTGGCAGGGACTCCAGGAGCTGATGGGCCCAGAAACATCTGCCCCGAGCCTGGTGCACCTGCCCTTCTTCCATCCCCCTCCCTCCTTGACAGGGTCCCCACTGCAGTGCCATCCTCCCCTGTGCCTGTGCCTCCCACCTTCCTGCCTTTAGTTTCCAGCAGAACTGTTTCTCTGCTTGCTTTTGGGAGAATGTGTGCAGGGAAATATGTATCTGTACCAGATCCTCTGGGTGGGCCTTTCAGAGATGCAGCACCCAAAGGCTCTTAGGAGTCCAGAGAGATAGCCACAGCCTCATTCATCAGGTGTTGGATGTTGCACTGGCATGCACTGTTGCTCGTGCATTGGTTTTAGGTCACAGGCGACAGTTCAGGGGGTTGCTTTGTGCCCTGATGCACACCCTGGAGGACCCCGGAGCACTGGATCATCCTTGGGGTCCAGTCCATGATTAGTGCTCTGGAGAAAGGTCCACTGCTTTGAAAGTAGAGAGGAGCATCACCTTGCAGTTTTAAATTATTTTACAAATGCATGCTTTTGCATTTTTGCTTCTGGAACATGGGCTTCCGTAACATTGACACAAGGTTCTTGGGCAGTGCCCATTTCCCATTGCTCCCCTGGAAATACAGAGCCTCTCTCAGCCACCTGCTTTATGATCCCTCTCATAAGTTTGCTGCAAAAGTGAGCATGGGCCGCCTTCGCCATATGTGACAGTGTCGTCCCACCATGACTCCTCAGTCCTGAAGGGCAGGTGTCTTACTTGTATACTCATAGGCACTGGGGACACAGCGCAAACAGGCAGGCTGAACCCGCTTCCTCTGCCTCTTGTCCTTCCCAATGAAGCAGGGTCAGTGCATCGGTGTGACTGCGTCCCAGACNAGACTAAAGCCAAAAGAGAGGCCATGACTCATGGGAAGTGCCACAACTAGTAAGTGACCGAACCTGGAACAGAACCAGAATTTGGTGCTTTATTTCACTTCCGAGCCTCAGTTTCCCTATGTGTTAAATGATAACCAGCCTGCCCCACAAGGCCTGGCAGGGACTCCAGGAGCTGATGGGCCCAGAAACATCTGCCCCGAGCCTGGTGCACCTGCCCTTCTTCCATCCCCCTCCCTCCTTGACAGGGTCCCCACTGCAGTGCCATCCTCCCCTGTGCCTGTGCCTCCCACCTTCCTGCCTTTAGTTTCCAGCAGAACTGTTTCTCTGCTTGCTTTTGGGAGAATGTGTGCAGGGAAATATGTATCTGTACCAGATCCTCTGGGTGGGCCTTTCAGAGATGCAGCACCCAAAGGCTCTTAGGAGTCCAGAGAGATAGCCACAGCCTCATTCATCAGGTGTTGGATGTTGCACTGGCATGCACTGTTGCTCGTGCATTGGTTTTAGGTCACAGGCGACAGTTCAGGGGGTTGCTTTGTGCCCTGATGCACACCCTGGAGGACCCCGGAGCACTGGATCATCCTTGGGGTCCAGTCCATGATTAGTGCTCTGGAGAAAGGTCCACTGCTTTGAAAGTAGAGAGGAGCATCACCTTGCAGTTTTAAATTATTTTACAAATGCATGCTTTTGCATTTTTGCTTCTGGAACATGGGCTTCCGTAACATTGACACAAGGTTCTTGGGCAGTGCCCATTTCCCATTGCTCCCCTGGAAATACAGAGCCTCTCTCAGCCACCTGCTTTATGATCCCTCTCATAAGTTTGCTGCAAAAGTGAGCATGGGCCGCCTTCGCCATATGTGACAGTGTCGTCCCACCATGACTCCTCAGTCCTGAAGGGCAGGTGTCTTACTTGTATACTCATAGGCACTGGGGACACAGCGCAAACAGGCAGGCTGAACCCGCTTCCTCTGCCTCTTGTCCTTCCCAATGAAGCAGGGTCAGTGCATCGGTGTGACTGCGTCCCAGACCACACCTAGACACAGGCTCAGGGCAGGCTCCGTCTCCCTAGTGTGGAGGGCACATGTGCTTTGCTGTCCAACGGCCCNCTCCCTAGTGTGGAGGCCGCACGTGCTTTGCTGTCCAACGGCCTGGGGCGGCTCCTAATTGCTCCACCCGCCAACTGTGGATCCCTGGCTGTTCCCTATCTGTCCTATGTGGGAATTACAACTGCCTAGTGCCTGGGGCCCAGCCAGCCACGGTATTTAGTAGAAGCGCCACAAATCCTACCCCAAAGCCTTAGCACCATGTCGGTGCTTGTATCCGTGGGCTGGGAGGACCCCTAGAGCCGGGTCAAGTGTCCAGAAAACCTCAGGGTGAAGGAGAAGACGCCAGCATAGGTGGCTCTGGTTTTCGGGGGCAGCATGGCCCCCCAGAGCCCGCGCTCCCACCCACGCTCTCTGTTCTGTTCCGTGTCTCTCGGCAGGTATATCCGCACCATGTACCTGGGGATTCAGAGCCAGCGGCGGAAGGAACACCAGCGACGCTTCTACTGGGCTATGATGTATGAATATGCAGATGTCAACATGCTGCGCCTCCTCGAGACCTTCCTGGAGAGCGCCCCCCAACTGGTGCTACAGCTCTGCATAATGATCCAGAAGAACAGCGCTGAGACGCTGCCCTGTGAGTGCCCCGCCCCGGAGCCCGGGGAAGCCACCTCCCGTGGGCTGGGACAGGCCCCCACCCCTCCGGCGGACCGCCTGGTAGCCGCCTCCTCCACGCCCAGGGCCCTGCAAACTGCGGGTGTTGCCCATTCTGATCACGAGTGGCACGAGCGGCACAGGCTCCAACACCTCTGTGCAAGCCGCCCACTGCCCACGGCCACTCGTTCTAATGAGTAGAGCAGAGCTGGGTCTCAGATGTTCCTGGGAGCAGCAGAGCAGAGCGCCCTGGTCTCCCTTGAGGGGATCGGCCCCTTTCCTTTGGTGCTGGCCTGCGCTGAGTGCGGGCCCGTGTGCAGGATGGGAAGATGGCCTAGAGACAGCGGGTGACGGAGAGGCTAACTCACGGTACGCAGCAGTTTCAGACATTGTTAAGCTGTGGCTCTCGCTTCAAATCAAAGCCCCTGTAGAAGCCCCATTTATAAAACAGGCTCAGGTGGCTCTTTTCTAGTTAGATGGGGTGGGGCGTCCAGAGCCCGGCGTGCTCTGCCCTCTGGCCTTCCTCCCCTTCCTGGCCCCTGCGGTCCCAGGTTGTCTCTAAGGAGCAGAAGCGCCGGAGCCCAGTCTGGACAGCACCGGTCTCTACAACAGCGGGAAGTCTCTAGACTCCGGCCGCACAGCTGCCAAGGCCTTGTGAGGTTAGACTTCACCGGACAAGGCAGAGTCTCACAGCAGGTCACCGATGGTCAGACTGGCCTTGACGGAGCCCTCATGGGCCCTGGCGGCAGAATGAGGTGCCCGGTGACAGGTGTCCTTTCTACTCATGAAGCCTCCACACCCACCCCCCTCAGCGCCCTGGGCCAGGGAGACATGCTCCAGGGGGCACACTTGCTGGGGGCTGACGTGAGCCCCTTTTCCCCCCATCTGGGTCCTCATTTTTCTAACCCTGTTGCCGTCTGAGACCTGCCCCCATCCAAACTGCCCTTTGCTGTTTCTGTTTCAAATCTCTCACCCCTGCCACACAGCCCAGGCAGCCAGCTTGTCCTTCCAATTCTTGGCCACATCCCGGCACCACAAATAGACAGGACAGGTGGCAGGGTGACGCAGGGGATGAGCTCCCAACAGGACATTGGTCCAATACCCGGGTCCTGGTCACCACTTGGATGCTGCTGTGATTTTGGACATTGCCCTTCACCTTTTCAAGGCCTCCTTTCCTCTTTGATATAATGGGGAGGTGACAATAATATTTGATGTTAGGGGGATGCTGCGATGTAATACACATAAATCACTTTGTAAACTGTCCAGCTCCACAGGAACCTAAGGGTTGGTGGTGAGTGACATGGGCAAGGTTCCAGGGAGATCTCCCAGTGCCACCCCCCTTTGGCCCTGTGTGTCATCCCTGCTCCAGCCTTTTTGTTGAGCATGCCCTTTCTATAATAGTTTCTCAGATTATAAACATAGAGAGGCTATATGTAAAATCCCTGGAGAGGAAACTCAAAGGACAGCAGATGTTGCTTCCTCTTGACATGGGAGCCCAGTGGGGCCAAGGTCAGTGAAGGCCAAGGGGTTGCTTGGGTGCTGCCACCTGCAGGCACCTGGGAAGAGGAGCTGGAGTGACAAGGGTCACGGGCTCCGGGAAGCTCCCCTGTCCCTTCCGTCCACACGCCCCCCCTTCACAACTCAGAGGTTGGATGAGAATTCCCCATGTTTCTTTGGTGTATGGAATAGGTTGTTTCTCAAAATAGGCTTTCGTGATTGAACACATTTGGGAACTGCTGGGCTAAACAAAGGTCAGCGGCAGTCTTTGCTTTGGTTGTAAATCCCCAAGACAAGGATGGGGTCTTTGGCCTTAGCAGGGTTGACGAAAGGAAGGAAACTTGCTGTCACCGAGCACAGGCTGCAAGGGGCTTGGGATTTTGCTCTTACGTAACTTCTGGACCGTCTGTTCATCACTGCACCATTTTGGTATGGTAACAGGTGATTTCCCTCTCTTTTTCCATAAAAAGCTGCATGACATGTATGCGCTCTAGAGAAAATCAGTTTATATATTAGAAATTGAAGGAGGGGAGAGAAAGTTGTGAACTTGGAAGGGACCTGGTGGTGACAGGGAAGGAATCTCCCAGCCATGTGAGAGCTTGGGGCTCAGCACATTGGAAAGATGGGCCAGCTCCCTCCCTGCTTCCTGAAAGCTGTTGGAGTTCTGGGGAGTGACCAAGCCTTTCTGTTCCTTATTTTTGTCATTTCTGAAATGGGGATGATATTAGCACCTACCACAGAGAGTTGTTGTGAGCATTTAATGACATGACAAATAGTGCCTCATACAACATCTGGCTATTTTGTTGGTGGTAGTGGTAGAGCTGTTATTGTAGATACACGTTCTGAATTGGACCACAAGTTTACTAGTGAGATCATGGCTGCCCGCCTTGCTTTAGCTGGCCTTGGATCACACCTGTCTACCTTATACCACTAATGCTAGTAGATGGTTAGAAAGATCACTATCACTTTAGCAGGTGGGTTTTCCATTGATCTTGCCCAATGCCAGCCTCTTCCACTTCTGCCACCTCTTCACCTTCCAGTCCTCACTGATTGCTGGGTTCACAGTGCAGTAGTCAGCCTGCAATGTGGATTTGTGTCCAATTTCCCCATAAACCAGACTCGAGTGAAAAATATAATAATANCTGATTGCTGGGTTCACAGTGCAGTAGTCAGCCTGCAATGTGGATTTGTGCCCAATTTCCCCATAAACCAGACTCGAGTGAAAAATATAATAATAATAATGATGATGATGATGATGATGATGATGATGATGATCCATACATATATTATGCTAGAGCCATTTGGGAATTTCAGCAGGGTCTTCCTTAAATTTGATGTCTTGAAATAAAAATAATAATAGAGTGGTAAAGGGAACATACGCTGACACACCGTTTACACTGGTAGTGAGTCTCATGTCTGCTGGCAGCTCTGCCTGTGTCTTGGGCTGTGACCAGGTTTGGAAATTAGTCTGGAACTGTGGGAAGTCAGGCAGAGCCGCATGTGAAGTCCACCTTGGCCATTTACTGACTTAGGACACAGAGCAAGTTAACTTCCCAACTGGGTGTCTTTGTGTATAAAGTGGGCATAGTAACTACTTTGGGGATTGTTGCAAAGGTCTCATAAGCTGCACATCTGCCTCTCCAACTCCTTGACTGGCATATTATGGGTACTTAATACAGTCTGCCATTCAACAAAGATGCATTAAATCAGGCTCCCTTAAACTTGCTGTGGGCAACACGGAGCGTGACAGATATGGTCTGTGCCCTCACGCACCTCCCACCTCTGGGGATACAGAACGAAAACAATTGGATGGCATGTGGCAGGTGCTTTGGAGCAAGCAGATATGGTGCTAAGACCAAAGTACACAGGATGGGGGCTGGACAGAGCCTGCTTTGGGCAGGGTGGTCAGGAAAAGCCTCTCCAGACAGCTGACATTTAAGCTGTGTGTAAATGAGGAGGAAACAACTCTAGGAAGAGCAGAAACAACTTTCCAGGCCAAGGGAACAGCATATACAAAGGTCCTGAGGCAGGAAAAGCATGACTTGTTCTAGAAAGTTTAAGGACCCAGCATAGCTGGAGGTTGGCAGTGGGAAGGGTGCAGGGAGGAGGGGCGAGGGGAGAGGATAGAGAGGCAGGCACCAGCCTGAAGAGGCAGGGCGAGCTGAACCCTCAAGGAGCGCGGGTTTATACCAAGTGCAGTGGGAAGCGTTGGGAAGGAAAGCTGTGCAATTAGATTTGCCCTTAAAGAAGATTCCCACTCCTGCTGTGCAAGGGGCAGAGCCGGAGCTGAGCTAGGAGAACCAGTTTAGCGGCTGCTGGGGAGGTCCAGGCGTGAGATGATGGGGTTGAGTGTTTTTGGGAAATGATGCCAAGTGCGCAGATTTGATTGGTGCTCTGGAGAACGAATGAACAAGACTTAGCAGGACTGGTATAGACAATGAAAGACTTGTGTGTGGGGGGGTGGTTTCTAACTGGGTGTGTTGAGATGGAGGAGGGGGAACCGGCGGGAGCTCGGATCAAGAGTTAATAGCTCTGTCACCTTTCTTACTTTTGGATTTTCTGATGCTTCCACATGAACATTGGCTGGGGGTGAGGGGTGGGGGCTAGGTGCAGCAAGTGGAATGTTCATGCTTCCACATGAGCACTCCATTTGCTGCACCTACATAGTGCCTGAGTCTCCCTTTTTGGTTAACTCCACACTGAGGAGTTGCCCTACTTATGTGCTCTGATGACCACCTTCCCCTGGCATCATAGTACCACTGTTTGTCAGGCACCTGCTGTGGACCAGACGAGTGTAGAGAATGGGTTTGCAAAGACACCTCCCCTTCTGGAGCTTATGGTCTGTTGCAGCACATTTTAAATTTTTTGGTGGATGGATGCATGGAGGAGGGAGTAACTGTTTCTGGTGGCATAATGGAGGAGGTAACGTTTGATCTGGGTTTTGATGGATGAATAGAAGCTCTCCTGAAAGAGAAGGTTGGGAGGCTCTTCTGGGCAATGGAACCGCAAATGCCAAGGGACAGAGGCCTGAGAAAGCACAGAGTGGGCAGGGAGTGAGTGGTTCTAGGTGCCTAGAGCGTAGGGTGTATTGCAGCAATTGTGGGGGACGGTGGTGGTGGTGATGATGATGATACTAATAATGTTAGTTAAGACTTTTGGGGAGCTCAACTAGTTTAAGAAGAGACTAGTTTAAGAAGTTTGTATGGATTAACCCAGTCAAGTCCCATAGTAATCCTAAGAGTAGATGGATGCTCTATTATTCCCATTTTATAGATGATGAAACTGAGGTCCAGAGAGGTTAAGTAATATGCACAAGGTGGCCACAAGGCTTATTAGTGATAGGGCTGGATCTTGATGTAGCCCAGCTCCAGTGCTTGGGTACTTAGAGGGATGACTATGGCTGAGTCTCAAAGAGACAGGCTTGTGTGGGTTCTACAGGAAAAGGTCACTGATGCGGGGAGGGAGCAGAGGTTGACATGCACTATA